GCCACAAAAAGGAGTCTTTGGGTCCTCCACGTGTGGCTCAGTGCCAGGACAGCGCTCAGGGTCCCCCCGCCACCATCCCAGGGTCTGGGCACAGCACAGTTCCTGCCCACACCAGGCCCTGGGAGAGCAAGCCTGGGTGACCAGTGGCTGGAGGGAAAGGAAATGGACTGAGGTGCTGACGATGGGGATGTTCCTGACACATGTCATCCCATGGCTGAATGACTAAGGAGAAATACACAGAGAAGAAACAGACAGGACCCTGGCGGGGCATGCCACCAGCTGACTGCACTTAACTGCCCCAGCCTTGGCTGACAGAGCCCACGCTGCACACAGTTCTGTCAAGTGGCCACTTCTAGCAGACACCTGAGAGGCCGACAGGAACGGGGAAAATTACCCGGAAGGTATGGCTGTCAAGGTTGAAAAGCTATGACCACTACAGTAAACACAATCCAGTCATCTTGCTGGCAGCACCTACCACCTCGAGGGGCCTCCAAGGTCAGCTGGTGTGCCTGGCCACCATATGCTGGAAGTTCCTAGATTTGGAGAGTTAAAAACAGGGTCTTCATTAAAAAGGTAGGTAAACTAGGAATAGCCTGAAACCATATGGCTAGGGAGGCTATGCCACTGAGAACTCACAGAGGCCAAGTCACAGCAATGTCCCATGTATGACCCTTTGAGTGTTTGCCACAAAAGAGATGGCAAGGCAGAATCGCGTCTGACCTGCAGGGCCCACAGGGATTTCAGGGGGAAGCAAAGGGAACATGCCAGGAGCCAACTCTGCATTCTGGGAAAATGCAACATGTCATGATAAACCCAGGTCAGCAAGTGGTTTGAAATAGTGGCCATGGCCTGGGAGACAAAACAAGAGCCAGCAGAGAGGAGCACTGGAAAATACCAGAGCACGAGGTGACAGCCAACAGGGCACATCCCAGAGGAAGGCCAGGAGGATCACACATACATACACACACACCCCCCACACATCATAGACACTACACACACACATCACACACCACCCACCCACACACCACACACACACACACACAGCCACACACACCACACACACACAACATACCCCCCACACACCACACGCAAATCAGACACCACAATCACACACCAC